CCTTCCATCATTCACCGAAACGCATTTCCCTTTGCGTTCAGCGCACCGAGCAGCAGTATTGGTGCTGCTGGTGGTTATATACCTCTTACAACCACGCAGCGGTGCTCAATCTCCTTTACCACCGTCTGTCTGCCTGTTGTTGTTGGTTGTTGGCGGCGGCCTCTCGACCGACTGCTGGTTGCTGGAGGTGGTTTTTGTTACGGATATTTTGTATTTTCTGTTTTTTGTTTGTTACTTTATTGGTAGTTTTATCTAAACAAATTTGTGTTGTCATCACATGAACTTAAACGAAAACGAAGAATTTGTTTTGATTCATTTGAGTAGTGAGTAATGAGTAGTTGCAGGTTTTTTTCTTTGGTACTTATAGTGGTTTACTTTTCGTTCTAGTGATCAGCTAATTTTTGATCCGATTCATTGTGAACTCTAAAATTACATTGCTATTTGGTTTCAGTATTATTTTCAATCGTCTTACCGATTGTTGCCTGAGCACAAAATATATTTTTTTTACTTTTTTATGTATTGCTGTTATTATTTTACAGTGGTCAAAAAAACTCGTTCATTCTTCTGCATTTTAGATGCGGTTTTTATCATATTTTAGGCTGATTAATTAAACGAAATGCTATTATGTCACGTGTAGGACACGTCTGTTTTTCATTTACATTTTTAATTTTAGTTTTTTTATTTTTTGATTCTGAATGTTAGATAATGGATTGCCTCGTAAGTTGTTTTGAATTCTAAACTGAATATACAGATGGAGTGTTCATCTGCAATTCTTTCAACGTAATAGCTGCAATAGATTCAGTAAATGTTAAAAAGGTGATTTTTAATCATCATGGTGTGGAGTTGATAGCTCGTTTTTGAATAGATTTTTTAGAACATTTTTGCATTTATTGATGTGTAATTTTCTCATTCTTTACTGTTTGTAAAGTGGGAAATGTCTTTTTGTATTTCGCATTTTTTCATCTCATATTTCCAGCTGCAAATTTTAGGCAGCGTTAAATCTGTCGGTCTCAGTTGGCTATTGATTGCCGGTTACTTTAGTTTTAAATGGATGAATTAAACGATACTTCCTTGAGGAGATCGCTTGATGGGATGTAAGTTTTATACAGTTGTTTGTTTCTGTATGAAGACTGATTACTGTTGAAGTAGTTTTTGTGGTTTTCTGGGCTGAAAAAAACTAGTTTAAAGACCTGACAGAAGTGGAAGGAGAATTTTTGTTGACTGACGTTTCTTGTGATTTTTGATTCTTTATTGTTGGAGTGAAGCTACTCGTACTTTGGAAAGTACGATGTGGTTTTAGGTAGTGTTACAAAATTTACCGAGTTTCTGGAAAACAGATCAGAGTAACTTTTGAAGTTTACGATAAATTCTTGTTAGTGAAGAGGAGGAAGTTTCAGACTGAATTTTGCTTTAGTAAAAGCCTAAAGTTCTATTGCTTGGATCACCAAAAGCGACGTCTTGTGTTTTCATACCATAGATTCATATTTATTGAAGCTGTTAATTGGTGTTTTTTCTTGCAATTTCGTCCACTTCGTTAAATTGTGCTGATTGTCTTTTCTTGTCCCCTTATCTCATTGGGAAAGGCTTATTCCCTTGTTTGAACAATCTAATAGAGATGAGGAAGGAATGCCATTAACAATGTTGGTAGCGCAGCGTTTGTTGTTTTCATCGTTTGCAAGCTTTTTGCAGAATATACTTCTTGTCAACGAGGTAAAGAAGTGGATAAAAGAGTCGAAGATTCAATCTGTAATTTTCAGTGGGTGATCTGTATTTTTAAGAAAATTGGGTTTCATCGAAGAGGTGAAAAGTTTGTCCTATGAGGAACTGTGGGACTTTTGCTTTATAGTAGTCTTTTGAATTTTTTTGAGAGAGTTACTATTTCTTAAGTAAGCTTTGCCTGACAGAAAGTTTTCATGCCTGAAATGGGAGTTTCCCACACCATCTTGCAAATACTTTTTCGAAGTCTTTTCTTTTCACAATTGTTTTGTTTTTTGTTTAGTGTTTGTTGCTTATTTGTGCCTTGGCGGGTATTGGCTTGCTTAAATTGCATTAATACTACTTTTTTTTGCAAGTTAAAATTTGTTCTTTTCTACTTTTTAGTTTCTTAATGTTTGTCTTTCTCAAAATATTTTAATTTGTCAGTCCTGACGGCTTTGATAAGAGCGAAAAGGATGAACGTTTTCATAGAGATCTTATTGAAACCGTCAAGCGTTATCCTGGTTTATACAACAAGCACAGTCCTGATTACAAGAAGGGTAAAGACCGGCATGAATATTGGTCAAAGGTTGAAACAGATATGTTCAAATTGGGATACGTAGCTGAAGGTAATTTTTAAACTACTTAACTGGCCTCAGTAAACTCAGTTTTTTCTATATTTGAACAATTCGTTTCTAGTCATCCGACTAAAGAAATGTATGAAAGTGATGTCTGTCGTAAAAAAGCTTCATAAGCAGCAGAAAGTTTTTTCTTGTGAAATTTTTGTTTGCATATTCTTTATTTTGATTTCTTATCTGGAATTACTGTTACTTTTCTTTTCGTTTCTTAGTAACTT